TTAAGAAAAAGCCTTTTGCTAGAAGCCATGACCTCTACTTTTATCCCCTCCATCTGGAGTGCGGCCTCATGGGGCTGTGCTGCTATGCAGGAGGTGAGCAATGGAATTCTTTAGAAGATGACTTCTGAGCCCACATGCGGAGGCAGTGGGGGTGGGAAGCAGGGAGAGCAGTGAGAGCCAAGATCGATGGACCAAAAAGTAGGGTTTGCTGGGGGGAAAATCCTGACCACTGGTGGACTGTTTTGCTGAGGTGTTCTTCCCCTAGCTCAAGGAGAGGCCCATGTCAGGGAGCTATAGCTTCCCAGGTCTATGATTGATGAACATTGTGTTCCTGCTACTTTTCCTTCTGCCTTCACAGTTGAGGTGCACCAGTAGGATAGGTAGGGTATTCCAGAGCTCATGCTATCTTTAAGGGAATGCATCCTAGGGTTGGACAGGGAAGGCTTCCCTTTGCTCTCACCGTCTCTTGGAGCTTTTTCTCACTGTCTTGCACCTAAATAGACAAGATGTCCAGATTTTGAATGAGGAAGGGCGGAGTTGTGAGCAGCAAAAGTTTTTGATCAATTGAAAATCTGTTGTCTGTCTTATCTCACAGAGTTTCTGTGCAGGGTAGATGCCCCTTATATTGGTGTAAATGAAATGCTCATCTCAACTAGAAGTCCCAGATCTTTCGTAGGCCATGAGTATCTGGCTTGGGATAGGATGAAGGTTTCTTAGCACTTTCATTCCCTGTTCTTTCCTAACCCAGGGATTGATATCATTTTTAATTTAATTTAATTTTTTATTTTTTTGGTACTGGGAATTGAACTGAGGTCCTTGCGCTTGCAAGGCAGGCAGCGGAACCACTGAGCTAAATCCCTGGCCCTACATCATTTTTTAAAAGAATAAAGTTTCAAAGGAAATTCTGATGCATACTTTAAAAGCCAAGAGTCTTAAAATTTCTCTCATGACTTTTCATGACTACTTCCACGCTATCTACACATATAGCATCACCTGAGAATTAGATAATATCAAAACAAAAATTTTAATGTTAATCTGAACTACAGAGAACTAGGAGCCAGAGTTGTTTAAATGTGGAATACTTTGTAATTACTGTATAGTGGTGGTAATAGTGGCTAAAGTAGCAGAAGGGGGACTTGCTGAGATTCAGGTAATTGTACGCTGTTCCTTTGTAAATTGTTCTCACATACACTCTCCTGGCAGTCCTAGAACTTCTATTTGTCTTGAACATTTTGTAGCAATTTGTTTCTTAATCCTAGGCATTCTTAGACTTTGAGAAGAATACACAGGCTTTGAAGTCAGAAGACCTTGGTTTGAGTTCTGACTCACTGTCCAAGTTATCTTGGACAAATCTCCTGAATCACTCATAGAATGAGAGTAACCGCTACCTCATAGAGTTGTGAGAATTACATGTATGACACCCCACTGACTGTTGCCTGAAATCTGTCAGTCAGGGCAGGTTTTCAACAAGATTTCTGGGAAATCTTACTTCAGTACAGTAACTGTGATATATTTACCACAATAAAGATACTTTTAAAATCTCTTCCTGTGCCTCCAGAATCCAAAGCTATCCTGTTTTCTAGCCCAGTAAAAGAAAGAGTTCACATCATGAGCAGGAGGCTTAACAATTATACAGTCACAGGAAACTGTCCCATCATCCTATGTGTATAAGATGCCTATCACTATCTTGATTGTGAACCAGTCTTGAGAAGTTATTTATCCTCCACCACTCTGGTTGGGTGGTAATTTTCCACCCTTGATCTCTTATGTATTCTTCCCTTTCAAGGGGTGTACCAGTTTGAAAATCAAACACTTGCCTGCATGTTGATAACATAACTTTGTAATATTCCTTGGATAGAACTAGACCCTGTTGTATGATTTTTGAAGGATCAAAATCTTGTTGGAAACCTAGTTGCTTTTTTATTGTTGGGAGTCCACTACAACTCTTGTGCATCCGGAGGCTCTGTCTGTCTACATAGGTGCACCTCATGTGTGTGTCTGTGTGTTCTCATGATTGTTCTCAGGCTGTCAGAGTGAGCAAAGAGTAAAAAGGAAGCATTTTTTTTCCAACATTCTTCAAAGATGCCCAACCCCCGTAGTAGCAAGCAGTTCCCAAGTGGAGGGTGGGGGCAGAGGCCTTCACCAAGGCCATCAATAACCAGGTGTGAGCTACAGGTCTCTGTGTAATGTGAAGCTCTCCCGTATTTCATTTCTGCACCCAGGGGGCGGCTCTGCAGGATTGCTTACGGAGAGCTCTGTGTCTGGCACCTCTCTCCGCAAGGCCCAGGCGCCCAGGGTCCCACCGACCTGCCCAGGAATGCATCACATTGTTCTCTGGTGCTGTAATTTGGCTGCAGGAACTAGGCTGAGTGCCTCCCAGGGATGAGAAACATGCTCTCCCTGGCATCTTCCCTTCTTCCCAGCAAGCTTGGGCTTCTGCACTATGACCACTGAGAACATTTAAGTGAAAACTTCAGAAAGGCTAAGGGAGAAAAAAAAATCCTTATTATCTGTCTTCTATTAAGCCATGCAAAAACTCATGTTCTGAGTGGGTCTGAGTATTTGGCAAAGGACTTGTGGTTGGTGTTCTTGATAAAGGGATATGAGAAAAAGAAACACTGCAGCAGGGAATAGAAGCAAAACACTGAGAATTCATGTTAGATCCATAAAACTTTTTGCAAACAGACCCACAAGGCAATATTTGATTATTTTAATTAATCCAAAATCCTTCATTCACTTTTCTAGCATTTCTCTATGTAAGAGTATGGACTAGTGCCATTATTCAGAGCTAATCACAATAAAAGTTCTTCATATCTGACATTCTTAAGAAAAACTGACTACAGGCTGTACCACATGGCTGAGGTACTTCAGTAGTAGCTTCTCTAATAAGGATCCTACATTATTAAAGGATAGAGATAGTATCTTTTAAGTTGACTTTGTATACAAATAGCACTTGCTGCAATGCCTTATACCTAAATATCAAAAGTTAAAAGAAATGAGGAACAAGGAGTACAAGAGAGAGGCTAAGTCACAGCTGCTGGGGAAAAACAGACATCTATCAAATGGAGGAGGGATGGGAGATAGGACACTTAGAGGCAGAATGAAAGAGTAGCAACAGAATTAAAAGGAGCCCTGACTGCACCAAATAAAGTTCTTAGTTTTGTTTCTTGTTCCAAATAAATTAGTTTCTGTTTGTATAGTGCAGAATGAATGCCAGTTGTCTAAAGCCAATCGGAATGCAGAGGCGAGCTAAGGACTAAGAGGAAAAATTAATTGCTTAACCATCTTTCCTTCTTGGGGCCACCCAGCTTCAGTAGTGAGGCTCAAAAACACATCATTTCTCTTGCTTATCTACCTCATTTTTCAAACTTCTCAGTCTGGACAGTTTGTTCTTCTCTTAATCATTTATAGGAACTTGTAAAATTTGTGCTTTTATGAGCTAAATTTGAAGTGCAAGGAAAATGTATAGACTATTTAAAATGCTGGATGAGGTCCACTCACTTCCTTCCACAGATGAAAGATATTGGGGAACAGGTAGATTTAACTCGGGTTGACCTCCTAAGGGAGGCCTATACCATCACTTATATAGTAACCTGGTTCTTGGGAGAGCAGGAGCTGGCTGGGACCGGGGGTTCTTGCCAGCAACCTGGTACACAAAGAAGTATTTGTAAATTCACTCAATACTACTCTTGAGCATGACCCCCTTACGCCCCCACTATCCCAAAGCTTTCCTTCTCTTAATCCCAGTCTAAGATATCAGAAGCTCTTCCTTCTCCACTCTTATTTCTCCCCACCCCAATCCCACCAATAGCTCATCAGTTATCCAGTTGACTCCACTCTGCAAGGAAGACATTCCCTTGGCCTGACTCACTCAGTCCCATTTCTCCACAGCCATCCCCTCACCGCAGACCACAAGGGCCCTGATTAGCTCATGTTTTGTGTTAATGGATTTGAAATTGGAGCAGATCCCCTCACCAAAAGAAAAACCACCCTATCCTCTCCCACACAGGTCTCAGCAGGTTATACAAATATTAGTCCTATCATCCAAATAAATCTGCCTCTGTGACCCAAAGTGGTGGTTCCTCCAACCTCCTGCTGCCTGTGCCGAGTGAAGTTGCTCCACAAACATTTGAGGACCCTAAGGGATGTTGGAGAGGAACCTGGGAAAAGAAAGGGGGGCCTATATCTAGAACTCCTTGTGTAGATCTCCTAACCTAAAGCCTGTTGTCAATATCATACAGTTCTAAATTGGAAATTCCTACAGAAGTTATGATGGGCTTGACTAGTTAGGAGCTTTGGTTAAGGGTGTCAGTAGGCTGGAGTTTGGAGCACAATTCAGGCTGAGATGGGAGGCCAAGGATTTAGCTCAGTGGTGCCACCACCTGCCTCCCAAGCAAAGATCCCAGTTCCAAAAAAAAAAAACCCGAGATGGGTATGTTTTACAGACGAGATAGTAGAGGCTTGGAAAATTTAGCTTGTCATGCTAAAAATAAAGACAAGTGACACAGCTGTGATTTTAATGCAGGTCTGTTATAACTGCAAATTTCTACATCACTCTGCTGTTTTAAAATATCAACAGGCAAGAGATAATCACTGTCAAAATGCATATGTAAATTAGGACATCAAGGTTTTTGGGACATGTCCTTTCCTCCAGTTTACTAATGAGTCTGCTGTCTCTAGAGACTCCACTGCCTCACACCTAGTTAGGTAACATAGTAGCATAGAAGGAATCTTCCCCTATTCCTCATGTGAATAGTAATAATCACCAGGACTTGGAGAGTCACTAAAGATTTGGGTAAATGTGAGGACCTTCTAAGTTGTCATCACTTTGGCTCAAAGCCCCACCTCTCTCTATGTAGACACTGGCTCCCACTTCTAGTTTCAAAGGTTAGAGTCCTTTCTTAAAGACTTGTCAAAGCCAAGTTGGGCATGGTGGCACACTCCTATCATGCCAGCTACTCAGGAAGCTGAGGCAAAACAATCACAAGTGTGAGGCCAGTCTGGGCAACACAGGATGACCCTATCTCAAAAAACAAACAAACAAAAAAACAAAACATTACCAAAGCCAGAGATCCCTATATTCCTAGTATACACTGGCCTCATGTGGCCCTTAAGATCAAGTCTGCTTACCTCTCTCACTTTTCATGAGTAACTATCTTTTACTGTGTTTCTCAAACCCAGCTAACCTTCAGAATAATGGAGGGGGAATCCTTGGGCCTGCTTAGCCTTACTAAATTATTCTCTCCTAGTATGGAGACTGTTAGGCATGGGAACCCACTGTACGCCACCCGTTTGAGCAGGCAGCAAATAAGCAAAAGAGGCAGTGCTATCTGGTATATGTAGAAAAGAGAGAATGTATGTTTGTATGTTACATGATTTTCCCCCTCTAAAACGCAACAGTTTATAAACTGCTGAACTTGTGTCTAGCATTCATTCTCTCCATGATACAGTGTTATCCTTATCTTTTGGGTACCAGAATATCTTCTCAGAGTCTCTCCTGGGAAGGGCATGTGGTTTCATCTCTGCCCTATCTATCCTCAGCCAGGGCAGGATTAAAAGGTCTCTAGGGATCCTTTCTCTTGCACACCAAAGAAGTATTAGGAAACCAGTGCAAAGAAAGGAAAAAATGAGCCTTGACCTTGAAAACTGGTACTTTAGTGCAACTCAGATCACTCTGAAGACCCCCTACACCTCTTCTACTCTCCCTTCAAATCTACAGAGGGGAAGCCAGCGAGCCACTGTTTCTTATATTCCCTATCAACTCCTTCCCAGGGCTAAGGAACCAGCTGGGACACCATGGTCCCTCTGGATTACTCTCCAAGTCTTTAAATAGAAGCTGTAGCAGCCCAGGGTTGAGGGTGGAGGAAGGTGTGCATGCAAGGTTCTTGTGCTTTTGAGTTGCGAGGCTTGAAGTAGAGGGATGAGTGAGGTATCTATGTCTTCAGGTCTGGTCCAGCCACTCTGCCTTCTTGGGGGCCTTGCAAGTGTGAACATCCACTGTGTTTCTGCACTCCTTGCACCGCACAGCACAGCACCAGTGGAATTTGCACTCACACTGGGTGACACGAGTGACTCGAGTTGTGTCATACCCTCGGCCGCAGCACATAATTTCACAACCATCTGTTCCTTTAGATGTCTTGCTACAGACACGGCCTGCAGTGCCTAGGGAACCTGGATTGGGAACAGAGGGAATGAGAACCAGGTTACTTCTTACTTTAGTTGTTCTGGGCACTCAACCCACATTCTCAGAAGGAAGTCATAAAATATCTCTTTTTCTGAAAATATAGCTATTAGCCAAATGACTATCCCCTCATTGCTGTCTGCACCAGGCTTATTTCTTCCCACCATTAAGGCTTCCTAAAAGCCACTGACTTCACCTGTAATTCCCTCCCAGCCAATACACATTTTCATTATCCTCTTCACAGTCTAACCTTAAACTGGGAGTGGTACAGCACATCTGAAATCCTAGCAGTCTGAGAGGCTGAGGCAGGAGGTGCAGAAGTTCCAGCCCAGCCTGGGCAAATTAGCAAATTAGAAGGACCCTATCTTTTTTTTTTTTTTTTTTTTTTTTTTTTTTTGCCCCGGAGCTCCTGATCACGAGATGTGAGGGTACAAGGGGAACCCCTGACCTGCAGTCAATGAGCAGCGCGTGGCCTTTCTGCCCCAGCAGAGCGATGAGCTGGTCCATGATACCACAGGGCACCCCTGCGAAGCTGTGCTCTGCCCGCTGACACACATGGGCCCGGGCAGCTACTGCCCCCGAGTCTGTGGCACAGGG